GTAGGTGTTGGGATTGCAGCTGTGAGCTCTTGTGTCATGGTGAGAGAAAGGGACTCTGAATGCAGGGACATTCTAGCACCAGACACACAGGAGCCTGGCCCCTCACATTGTGGTGGCCTAAGGAGGGCGGTGGGTGGGGGGGCATTTTGTGTGTTTCCAAGGGTTCAGTCCAGCTGCTTGTAGTTTTCTGCATTTATCTAATTCTTCCAGATAAAAATCTTGCAAATGCAAAATTTCATTATGCTGAAATTGTTTTTTAGTATATCAATGCCTTTAGAATAAATCAACATTTTCAAAACAAGCATTGCAGTAGAACTGACTGCAATGTATTTAATTAAAGAATTTTATCTACATCCTTTGATATCAAGAGAAAATATATCATATTTACTTGAGACACTTGACTTGAGAATTCTGATACCCAGAGGATAGTAAAAGAGTGTACTTTTAAAATATATGTATTTTTATTGATTTTAGAGAGAGAAGGAGTAAGGGGGGAGGGGGAGGAGACACATTGATCAATTGCCTCCCATATGCACCCTGACAGGGGATGGAACCCACAACCCTGGCATGTGCCCTGACCAGGAATGACACTGATGACCTTTAGTGCATGGATGAGGCTCCAACCAACTGAGCCCCACTTGCAGGGCAGTAAAAGGAGTGTAATTTTTTTAAAAAATATTTTTTTTAGTTTTTTACAGAGAGGAAGGGAGAGGGATAGAGAATAAGAAACATTGAGCAGCTGCCTTCTGCACACCTCCTACTGGAGATGTGCCTGCAACCAAGGTGTACATGCCCTTGACCGGATCGAACCTGGGACCTTTCAGTCCGCAGGCCAACGCTCTATCCACTGAGCCAAACTGGTTAGGGCAGGAGTGTAATTTTTTGAAGTCAAAGTTCTTGTTGGGTTTTTTTCCCCTCTTCATACTACAGACACGGTGTTGTTCCTTTAGTACACTGCCACCAGGGTTGCACAAGTTGATTTTTATAAATTAACATGGATGAATATTTTAATTTTAATATTTAATTATTTTAATACTAGAGGCCCATTGTACGAATTCATGCATGGGTGGAGTCCCTCAGCCTGGCCGGCGATTGGGGCTCTGAGATTGCGGCTGATCGGAGCTGTCTCGCCCAGTCCCAATTGGGGCTGGCTGGCGGAAGGAGGGACCGCGAGAGGTTGGCCAGCTGTGGGAGGTTGGTTGTGGGAGCGCACTGACCACCAGAGGGCAGCTCTTGCATTTAGTGTCTGCCCTCTGGTGGTCAGTGTGCATCATAGTGACAGGTCATTGTGTTGACCGGTCGGAATGGTCGCTTAGGCTTTTATATATATGCTAGAGGCCCAGTGCACAAAAATTTGTGCACTCGGAAAGGTCCCTTTGCCTGGCCTGTGCACTCTCGCAGTCTGGGACCCCTCAGGGGATGACCACCTGCAGACTTAGGCCCACGCCCTAAGGGGGATAGGGCCTAAGCTGGCAGTCAGACATCCCTCTGGCAGCCGGGGAGCCCTCGGGGGATGTCCACTTGCCAGCGGGGAGCAGGCCTAAGCTGCAGTCAGACATCCTTAGCACTGCTGAGGAGGTGGGAGAGGCTCCCACCACCACCACTGTGCTGGCAGCCATCAGCCTGGCTTGTGGCTGAGCAGAGCTCCCCCTGTGGGAGCACGCTGACCACCAGGGGGCAGCTCCTGCATTGAGCGTCTGCCCCCTGGTGGTCAGTGTGTGTCAGAGTGACCAGTCATTCCCAGTTATTCTGCTGTTAGGGTTAATTTGCATATTACCCTTTTATTATATAGGATAGATATCAGAAAAATATATAGCAAGCTTACCAAACCTATTGTTTCATACGTACCACAGTTTTAGAAAAATATCTCTCAAGTGAGGTGCTCTGCTTTATGCTGGGCCATCAGAAAATGGAGAGCAGTTTCAGGTTGTCCCTTGCAGAGAGGCGGGCACTACTGATGTTGAAAGGATGGGAGACCAGGAATTCTAACTGTCTTGACACCTGTAGAGAAACTGTCCTGTCCAAAATACCAATAATGCCCTAATGAGAGACTGGGTAGTATCAGCCTCAGGAGGAGTAGGGAACAGTAGAGATGATAATTTAAAATGTTGAGCACAAAGGAGTATGTAATGTGGCTTTGGTAAGAACAATGAAAATAGTTTGCAGTTGATAGAAGTTTGAAAACACTAGTTGAGGACAAGTAGCAGTAGTGAGCTTTAACAGACCCTGAAATGTAGCGCCATGTGCCAGGTGGTGGTCTCAGCGCTGCACAGATGTTAACTTAGCTGTGGTTAATGGTGTTTGAGGCACTAGCCTGGTCTAAAGCCTGCTCTCAGTCTTGGCTGCATGGGGGAGCTTGTAAGGGTCTGGATGCCCAAGCCACCAGTTCAGTCACAGCCTCTGAGGATAGGGCTCAAGCTTCAGTATATTTAAAGCTCGTGTAGTTATGCCAATGTGTAGCCAAGGTTGAGAACCGCTGGTCTAGGATCATTTGCAAAATCACCCATCTTGCCCTGCCGGTCTGGCTCAGTTGGTTGGGCATCATCCTGTACACAGAAAGGTTGCTGGTTCAATTCTTGGTCAGGGCACATGCCCGGTTTGTGGGCGTGATCCCCCAGGTCCCTGGTGCAGGAGGCAGTTGATAGATATTCCACTCTCACGTCGATATCTCTCTCTCTCTCTTTTACCCCCTCCCTTCCTCTCTTTCTCTCTCTCTCTCTCTCTCTCTCTCTGGAAAATCAATAAACTATTCTTTGAAAAAAGGAAAAAGAAAAAAAAATCACTCCTCTTCACAAAAAAAGCTGTATGGATCATGCAAATGTTCATGGAAGGCTTGCACGGTGCCATGCCTTCCAAGGGGAAGACGGCTGAGACGTGGCTCAGGGAAGCCTCACCATCCACGGCAGGTGGCAGTGGAGACAGAGTAGTACAGTCCTGCTGGCAAGTGCTGATGCTGGAAAGTAGATTCAGAATGTTTGGTATCACAGACAAGAGAGAAACTAAATTTAAAAACCTCAGGTGTCAAGTTTGGAAAATTAAAATAACTAAAGGTATTTTAGTTTGCCCTTCCTGCACACAGGAAGAGAAAGGAAACAAAAAAGCAACCGACACATATAAATTACTCTCAGTTTTGCCTTCCTAACCTGGTTGTGGCCTTTATGTGGTCCAGTTGGAGAATTTGGATTTTTTTTTAATGTTTATTTTTTTTTAATTTTTTATTACAAAGGGTATTACATATGTGTCCATTTTTTCCCCCCGCCCTAGACAGTCCCCTAGCCTCCCCTATCCCCCAGTGTCTTATGTCCATTGGTTATGCTTATATGCATGCATACAGGTCCTTTGGTTGATATCTTACCCCCCTACCTCCTGCCCTCCAACCCTCCCCGGCCTTCCCGCTGCAGTTTGACACTCTGTTTGAGGCAGCTCTGCCTCTGTATCTATTATTGTTCAAAAGTTTATAATGGTCTCAATTATCCATGAATGAGTGAGATCATGTGGTATTTTTCCTTCATTGACTGGCTTATTTCACTTAGCATAATGCTCTCCAGTTCCATCCATGCCGTTGCAAATGGTAAGAGTTCCTTCCTTTTTAGAGCAGCATAGTATTCCATCGTGTGAGAATTTGGATTTTGTCTGTAGATAGATGGCATGATAATTTTGTCCTGGTGTGGAGCAGGTTCTGAAGTACCTCGTAAAGCAGGGGTGGAAATGTCCGGCCCGCGGGCCGTATCATTTGGTCTGTCCCTGGCAAGGCAACCCAGGCGGGACTTGAAATTCAGTAATTCTAGGCTCTTTTTTCATAGCAACATAATTTTTGTTAACAATTTTGTATGTTCCTCGAATGATGTTATAAATATCCAGATGGCCCTTGGCAGAAAAAAGTTCCCCGCCCCTGTCATAAAGCATCGTTGAACTAATGTCCATCTGGAAACAAGGCATCGCAGCTGCATAGAGAGGCTCAAAACTGGCATAAAAGGACCTTGGAAATACACCATTTAAGTGATGCTGGTAGTCATTGATTCTAATACGCTTACTTTGTCAAATACTCATACAGCTTTCATATTGTGATCAGTAAATGTTGGATCACATACAGTTTAAAAGTTAGAGTTAAGCAAATGTCATTTTAAATGATACATTTAATTGAAGGCAGGCACTAACTTACCATTCTAAGGTACTTAAGTAGATAAAGTTACTAAGTAACTTGTGTCCAATGATAACATTCTTCAGCTGCTCTTGATTGATTTAATATGGATTGCCTTACTCTGAGAAAACCTGATTCTCCAGGAAATAATATTTTCCGTTATACCTGTATAGTCTCTACTTAAGTGTGCATTACTTGCTGGTTTCAATGCCAGGCATAGCTGCTTGTGGTGTTTTTGTCTTGTGCCTTTGGCATCTTCATGGTGTGAACCGGAGCTATGCCATCTGTAGTTGAGTGAGATGATTAAAAAAGGGGAGTGAAATGATTCATCAGAAAATTTCAGCACAGATTCTTAAGGAACGATAAGATAACCCTAGAAACATTTTTATTTGGTGTCATATGCTAGTGGGTAGTGACAGAAAAAAAGGAAGGTACAACTTGTTTTTTAACATTTTGCTATTTTGAATTGGAGAGGTACTATGCTAGGAAGGAATAATGAATTGCTTAAGGTGTTAATTAGCAGGGTTCTGCAGATGAATGAATAATTTTTTTCTCTCTGACTATAAGTTGGAGCCAGTGAGGTTCACGGTGCAAAACCCAGTGTTTTCAGGTTAGAATGGCCATTTAATTTCCTAATGGCTATTTGTGAATGATAACACTCTTAATGCTGAGATGTTTCCTCAGCAGAAGGATCAGTTCCTGGAATCCCCAATAAGTCTGTGGGGCCTAGATAAGCCATTTCTGAAAGCTACGGAGTTTAATGTGGCGAGGCGTCTTTGAACCTGAATGTGTTGCGTTTCAGGTTCCATTGGAGACTTGCCTAAAACACGGTATCTTTTTTTCTTTGTTTCCTTTTCAGAAAGAAGACATAGCTCAGCCAGCAAGCCTTCTTTGGCCGTTCCTCCCACGTCAGTATTCTCCTTCTTCCCTTCTCTGTCCAAAAGCAAAGGCGGCAATGCCAGTGGAAGCAGCCGCCCTGCCAGCGGCAGTGTTCTCAGCGCATCCTCATTAAGTTCCAAGCTGTTGAAATCGCCCAAAGAGAAACTGCAGCTCAGGGGGAACACCAGGCCAATGCATCCCATTCAGCAGAGTAGAGTCCCCCAGGCTAGAATGTGAGTATGGCAGCGAGGTCCTGATGCTTACTTGGTGCAGGTGGAACTGTGCACACGGTCCTTCGAGGGTAGGGTAGCTGGGCATCCTGGGAAAGGGAGCCCACGTGGGGAAAATTCAGATACATGTTATTTCTTTTTGTTTATTATATCATGGGCAACTTAACAGAGTAGTAATAGCATTAATTACAAGGTGGATAATACTCGCTCATTGCTCTTTATTGTGTGCCACCTATTGAAACTCACACCCACCCTCTGAGAGAGGTATTATGTTAGCCCCCTTTCCCAGGTAAGAAGGTGCAGTGAGGAGGTAGTGGAGCTGTAGCCGAGGAGCCCTTGTTCACATACTGGGCTCGCATCCCAACTCTGTCACTTCCTGGCTGTGCGGCCTTGGACATGGCACTGTTTTTCTCGGGAGCCTAAAAATAACAATCGTTGTGCAGGGTTATCAGGAGCAGTAGGATTAATATATTAGAACCAGGCACCTGGCATAATGTCTGGCCCACAGGAGAGAGTAAATACATGGCTTCTGGGGCTTCTGCTGCTGCTGTTGGTAATAGTAGGAACCAAAGGGGAGAGAGATTCTCAGGTGCCGTTCGCGGATTTCCGGGACCTGCCGAGCAAATGGGGAAGTGGTGCTTCCTCCCAAAGCCCTGGGCTTACATCAGAGCGCCCCAGTGATGAGGGAAGACGGGGCAAGCTCACCCAGCCAGGCGAGGCTTGGGCCAGTTTCCACAGTGGAGCTGAAGGTTGGCAGGCTCCCTGTGGTCACGTGAGGAGCAGCCGGGCACTCCCACAGAACACATCTTGCCTGGTCGTGGCATCCCTCAGCCTTGGTGCGGGTGGTTTTCCTTGGCCTGCCTCCCATTGGAGGGCGTGCCACATGTCAGTCCCAAGGTCTGATAACCTGGCTAATCTTGGGGCAGCATCCAGCACCTGCTGCTGCTCAAGGGCTTGCCAGCTGGGAGCGGCCATGGCACCTCGCAGTGTCTGCTGTCAGGCACTCTCAGGTACAGCTGTTTGGGGCTGTTTGTCCTGGTTGCTAAGCCCCCGGCCTTTGCTCATCTGTCAGAAGTGCAAGTGCAGCAAGCTTGGCTTTCGTGGCTAGAGCTGTCTGAGAGCAGAGAAATGTCAGTGCAGCGTGTAGTCCCTCGCAGCCTACAGCTGTTGGGGCACGGACTCCACCGCTGTTTATCAGACCTCGTCAGCCACTGCTTCTTCCCGTGGAGCTGGGCTTTCGGGCGACCTGGACAGCTGTTAGCTTTGTACCAACATTTGCTACCCAAATTATCATGTCAGTAAGATGCCAGGAGAAATCAGTTATTTGTTAGTGGCACAGTTCAGTGCTCAGCAGCTGTGTGCCAGGCATGTACAGTTCAAGCTCCTACGTTAGAAACCATTTTCAGTGACTGGAGACTTCTCACTTGAGTGACACATCTCTTACTAATGAAATAGTGGTCTTGCTCATTGACACAAGTCAAGAGCTTCTTTTTGTAAATTCCATAGTGACACTTCTTGGAAATATTCTTTAATTCCAATGTTGTTTTTTCTGCTCACTCAGTTTCCTTTGTTTTGATGGTCCTTTTTTTTCTTTTTTAAATTTTTTCTTTTTTGGGGTCCTTTCTTAAAAATGACATTTCTCAGAGACATTCTCTCCATGCCCTGCAAATATTCTTTGGTCCTTTTCATATTTTGCTTCTTGCAGAAGTTGCACTGGGTACCAGAGTAGGGGTACCCTAGATCTGCCCTGGCTCTGGGGCAAGGGGTCCTGGAATGATGAACGAGCAGGTACATGCGCTGGTCACAGGAGCTGTGTGCCTCACCAGAGGGCTTGTAGCCTGAGTCAGTGGTAACCTTCCGGAGGTTTCTGCACAGTCCCAGCACATGCCACCAGGTGCCTCGGGGAGCCTCGCTGTGTGCAGTGCCCTGGTAGATCAGGCTTTCCCTCCCCCACTCTGGCTCACCGTTTACCTGGGGCTCTGGGCACTCAGGTACTGGCGTTCTCGCTTCCCCTACCACAGCATGGCGCCCTCTGTCAAAATGGAAAAGATTCATCCGAAGATGGATGGTACACTACTGAAATCTGCGGCGGGGCCAACCTGTCCTGCTACTGTGAGTTCCTCAGTCAAGCCTGGCCTTAACTGCCCCTCAATACCAAAGCCAACCTTGCCTTCACCTGGACAGATGTTGAATGGCAAAGGGCTTCCTGCACCGCCCACTCTGGAAAAGAAGTCTGAAGATAATTCCAATAACAAGAAATTTTTAAATAAGAGATTATCAGGTAATTTCACATTTTCTCTGTCTCAATTGGCCATTCTTAAGGGAGCAAATGTACTGCTGTCTGTAAGTCCTCTTTTTAACACTGGTCAGCTTCAGCTTTAGGAGGAATTTCCGTAAGCAGTGCGCTTGGCCCCCTCGAGGTTGGGTTGAAGTGCATGTGTGTAGCTAATGTGAAAGCAGCTTTGGAGTGGCTTGTGTCTGAGTGGAATAACGCGGTAGTGCGGACTCAAGCAGTCTGTCTCCTGTTGTCTAGTGGCAACAGTCCTTACTCTTCGTGATGTCACTGCTTCTTTGTAGTGCTCACACATTGGGTATTGTATAATTATTGATTATGTAGATTTTATCCGAGTTATATATAATTGTTTGTTTTGAGATTTCCCCTGTTTTCTTGTTTACAAAATAAGAGAAGGGAGTGTTTGGTGAGCCCATTGTAATTTCTGTGTGCCTTTATTGATAGAAAGAGAGTTTGACCCTGACATACACTGTGGGGTAATCGATCTCGACACCAAGAAGCCCTGCACCCGGTCTTTGACATGCAAGGTAGGTGGCCTTCTGGGCCCAGCTGGCCACTCTGGCAAGTATGGGGCGTGGGTAGGCGAGCACTGCTCCCAGGTCTGTAGCTAAAGGGGGTCTGACCTGGGGGCTGCTCTGAATTATAAATGAGGAGTAACTTGCTTTCCTGAGAAAGCCTCAGGTTCAGAAAATGTGAAGTTGTTATAAACTGCAGTCTTCAGAGAGCTTTGTGTCCAGTGAGCTGTGCTGGTCCAGAGAAACAGAACGCTTTCCTGATCAGTCTGTTATTTTCAGAGGCTTTTCACATTTCAGAGAACTTTAATGTGAGAGGCTACACGTTACTCTTTAAATTATACTGACTTAGAGCAAGCCCAGAAATTTCATTTGCATATATAAAAATATTCTTAAAATCTTTTTGTAAACTGTTGTTCTTGCATTTTAAAGATACGCTTTAATATTTCGTGACTTTTAGATATCTTTGTTGTTCTTTTAAATACTAGGTAACATATGATCTAATTTATATGTAAGCTAAGAAAATGTAGTTATCCTCCTTCCTGTCCAGACGTTTTCTTTTAAAATGCCAGTTTGCTGCTGTACAAGGGTTGCTGGTGTAGGGGACCTCCACACAGCAGTGGACCTGCTACATAAAAAACATGTATGTTTGCATTTCCCTGGAGAGTGTCCCCAACTACCCTTCAGAAAAAGTCAAGAAGTATTAAGAATCGCTGCTTTGAAGTATATGATTTAAAGCCCCTTGTTTGGAGGAGGGGTTGAAAATGATAAAAAAATATTAGTCTTGTTTTCTAAAAGTTAATAAAATTGTTGGGGTATTATTTTAAACTAGAGGCCCAATGCACAAAATTCGTGCAAGGGGCTCGGCCCTTGCAGCCCCAGCTGCCCGGCAGTCCTGCCCACTGATCGTTTTGCTGTCTGGTCTAATTAGCATATTAGCTCTTTATTACATAGGATGTTACCAAAGATTGTGTTTGAATAAAGGATTTCAGGCTCCACTCAATCCATAAACAGTGGAGGAATGTTATAATTTCCCCAAAATGGGAAATGTTACTCCTAAGTGGTTCTTATTTCAATTTCTGATTTAATTTTAGTATATATATATATATATATATATTTAGTATTTAATTTAAATATCTAATTTAATTTATTGTAGATTTTTATCTTACAACAATAGTTCTGATATTTTGTGGATAGGAATTGGTTAATGGCACCTTTAAATAATATCTAATTTTTTAAGAATCACAAATCCTCATCCCTGAAGGAAAAAATATATAAAAACATGTATATTCTGAATTTTGCATTCTGTTTTCCGAGTTGTTAGACATTCCCACTGCAGGCCCACCCCTGAATCTGTAGGTTAAAACTCCTAGCTCAGAACAAATTGCGTATGTAATATTAATTGCATGCGCACAGTGGTGTGTTGTTCTCTGAAGAGAGCCACTTGAGCGCTCAGTAGGATTCTCTTCCTTCCGGCTGCCCCTGAGGAGCTTGTGAGAGCTTGCCCCAGCCCTGCTCCATATCACCGCCACGATTCACCATCCTCTCTGCTTCCTTCGTGCCAACCTTCCTCTCAGTGACAGATTTCTCAGGGTTACGACAACCCTGGTCAGTGAAGGATGCCTGCTCTACCCACCATGTTCTTTTAATCATCTCTGAGGCATGCTGTGAGCCAAAAGCTCTATCAGCTCACAGTCTGCCTTCTTCTGACCTTATTGATGTGGATCCTGCATTTGTCTCCCATGTTCCTTTGTAAGCCATGTGTGTTATCCCTATGTTCTGTTAAGGGTGTCCTTCCCGACTGGCATGGTGCTGATCCCATAATAACATTAAGAGCCGTCTTTGGCCCTGGCCCGTCATGAGTGCAGCATAGAGCTGGCAGGAACGCAGCGTCTGGGCAGGCCTGCCCTTCCTTCCTTCCTGTGCTCTGCCTGCCGGTGCTTCGCCTTTGGCTGCCTCAGGGCCTGGATCTATTCAGCTGGTGCGCTCACCATGCTGAGTGCCTCCCTGTGTGCTCCCCGCCTTGCCGCCAGGTCTCTCCTGTTGGGGACCTAGAACATTATTCATTCTCTGCTGTCGGGGCACCGGCTGCTTCAACTCCTGTCACTCATTCCCTGTTGTCTGCCTGCCACCCTCGCTGTCCCCTCCTCGCTTCCTCATCTGTTCAGTGTCCTGTGTAAATGTCCTCTTTGCCTTCATGCGAATAGATTTTGAGTTCACTAGCCAGAGGATCCTAGAGTTTTATAAAACCAAGGCTTATTCCTACCCTCATGGGGCTTGCAGTCTAATGAGAGAGATGGAGATTAATCTGATAATCGCTCAAATAAGTGTCAAGTTACCAATGATGAGTAAAAAATGGAAGGAGGGCTGTGTCATAATAACCTTCAGTGGGGAGGTTGGGCCAGGCGAGCCTCCTTTGCTATAGGAACATGGGGCTGAAATCCCTATGACTTATGTGGGCAAAGAGTGGTGGGAGAGACAGAGGAAACAGCATGTGTGATGGCTATTTTTTTATACCAAAAAAGCAGGGGCTTGGGTGTTCGAGTGTGCATAGCCCGAAAGCCTGGCTCATGGTCAGTCTTCACCCTGGGAACCCTAGGCAGCTCCCAAAGGATTCTGCTGGGGCCTCAGATTTGTGTTGGAAGGTTCCTCAGCACTCAGCAGAAGTCCTCTTTACTCATCGTCTTGGCTGACGTTTTTAACCTGGCTTTTCTGTGTTACGCACCAGGGGACATTCAGCGATGAGGAGAGGCATCTACATCTGGCTGGAATGACAGGTGTGCGTGTCAGTGACAATATGTATTCCTTTGTTCATTCGACACATGTTAGAGGGCCTTTATTTTTATATACTTTATGTTTGAAGTATTTATTGAGGGCCAGGTACTATCCTCGGTGCTGGTACAGTGCTGAACAGAGCAGGGCCTGTCTTTAATCAGGGTACTTTCTTGGAGATATATTACACACTAAAGAAAATTAAGTCAAAATTCAAGAAGAAACTAAGCACATTTATCTACTTGCTATACACAGTTTTGGGGCATATACAGTTTTCAGTGTATCTGAGGAGGAGGTAGGTTATATTATTGAATTTCAAAAGGACCGTAGAAGCCTGATTCCTCTTAAACTCCTTGAATTGTAGCAAACATGTAGACCGGTAGATCAACACATTTATATAATGTATAGAGCCGTGAACACACACGAAGTATCATTTGCAGTATTTTGTAACGAGACAGAAGGAAATATGTGGGTGAATTTACTGATCCTCAGGATTCACTCTGCTCTGTATCTCTTCTCCTGTCAGCCTTATAAGACTTTACTCAGTCTCAGTAGCCCATCTCCAGGGTCCTCTGAGCCACTTTCTCTTTACATGGCACCTTCCTGGCAATAGAGAAACAATTGTGCTGTTTTTACTCTTTGACACTTACTAAAAGAGGACTTTATGATAGACTAGAGGACCGGTGCACGAAATTCGTGCATGGGGTGGGGGCATTCTCCTCAGCCCAGCCTGCGCCCTCTCCAATCCGGGACCCCTTGGGGGATGTCCAACTGCAGGGATCGGGCCTAAATCGGCAGTTGGACATCCCCCTCACAATCCTGAACCGCTTAATTGCTCACCTGCCTGCCTGCCTGGTCACCCCTAACTGCCGCCCATATTGGCCTGGTCACTCCTAACTGCTCCCCCCTGCTGGCCTGGT